CGGCCGGCGCTGCAGGGCGATCGGCCGCAGGCGCTGCCGCTGGCGCGGCTGCCGCGCCAGCGGCAGCCGGCGCTGCGGCCGTCGCTGCGGCAGCGGAAGACACCAGCGACGGCTTGCGGTCTTCATCCGCGGTGCGCCGCGTTGGCCAGGTCTTGGCGGCGGCGGGCTTGGCGCCGGCTGCAGCTTTGTCAGCCTGCTGAATGACACACAGGGTAAGGTGGCAAAGGGGGTGGTCAATGAGACTGTGGCATAAGTTGGAGTTGAAAAGGCATGGCAGACAGCGGACATCAGACATTCAAAGTCGCCTGTCCGGCGCTCTAGGCATTCGTTGCGGCGCGGCGCGGCTCAGGCCGCGCGGGCGCGCGGCGCCATTTACAGAGTAGCTGGGCCATCGTGAACATTGACGCGGTCGCCCCGCCCGCAGGCAGTGCTGCGGCTTGCGCCGGCTCGGCTGGCCCTCGTATGCACAATCACGCGCCACCGCCCCCCCACCTTGCCGAAGCCCCTACCGCCGCCGTTGCGCTTCGCCTTGCCTGACCGCGCGGCCGCCGCCACCACCGCCGCCGCCGCCGCGACGCCCTGCAGCTTGTCTGGCGCCGCCGGCGGTCCCGACGCGACGCTCGGCGCGCCCGTGCCCGCAGAGGCAGCCGCCACATCAGGCGTTGTGGCTGTGGCTGCTGAGGTGGTCGCCGCCTTCGTGGCCGCGGGCGCGGCCGGGGGTGCGGCCGCCGGTGTGGCCGCCGGTGTGGCCGCGTTCACAGCTGCCGGTGTGGCCGACGGTGGCGCCGCCCGCGTGGCTGCTTGCGTGCCTGGTGCTGTCGCTGCCGGTGTGGCCGCTTGCGCAGCCGCTTTCGCGGCTGCTGGCGTGGCCACCGGGGTGGCCGCGCGTGTGACCGTTTGCGCAGCACCTGAAGATGTCACTGGCGTGGCTGCTGGCGCCGCTACTGACGCGGCAGCTGGTGTAGCAGATGATTTGGCTGCTAGTGCCGCCGCTGGGGGCCCGGCTGGCGCCTTTGCCTGTGGAAGGGCTGGCGCGCCCGCCGGTGCCTTGGCTGGTGCGGCGACTGGCACGGCCGCCGGTTTAGCCGCTTGCTCGGCTGCTGGTGTGGCCGCTGGTTTGGCCGCTGATGCCGCCGCCGCTGGCGCCTTGCCCACTGTGCCCGCTGGCACGGCCGCCGGCGCGGCCGCTGGCGCGGTTGCTGGTGTCGCCGAAGCTGTGACCGTGGTTTGGGCCGCTGGTGGCTCAGCTGTCGCTGCCACTGGCGCGGCTGCTGGCACGTCCGCCGGCGCGGCCGCAGACGCGGCTGCTATGGTGGGTGCTGCTTTGGCCGCCGGCGCCGCCACCGGTGCGACCGCTGGCGTCGTTGCTGTTGAGGCCGCTGCGTTTGCCGCGCCCTCCGCCTGGACGGCAGGACCCGCCGGCGCCACCGCCACCGGAGCAGCAGCTGCGGGCGGCGCGACCGTGGCGCTCACGACGGTGGCTGCGTCCGATGCCACACGTGCGGGCGCCGCAGGGCGCGGCGCCTCGGCGGCGGGGGCGACGGGCGTGGACGCGGGCTGCACGCGGCTCGCAGCAGCCGGCTCGTGCGTAGGGCGATGCACGGGCGCCACCGCAGGCGCCGGGCCTGCTTTCACGACCAATGCGGCCGCGCCGCTCAGCGCGTCCGCGGCCGCGGCTGCCGCCGCGGCCGCCGCGGCACCCTCGGCGCCGCCGACGCCAGCCGCGGCGTTGCGCTTGGCGGCGCCCCGCAGGTTCCGCGCGTCAGCCGCGGCGCTCTCGGCCGCGCCGCGCAGCCGCTCGGCGGCGGCCTTCGAACTGACCGCCGCCGCCGCGGCGCGTGCGGCGTCGCGCAGGCGGCAAGCCGAGCTCTCCGCCGTGCCCGCCGCCATGCGCAGCGCACGGGCGCCGGCCTTGCCGGCAGCATCTGATGCCTCGTGCAGCAGATCCACCGCGGCGCTCGCCGCTGCGTCTGCTGCCGCGGGGCTCGGCGCCGCGGCCCCAACCGCGGCGGCGACCGCGGCGGCGGCGGGGTCCTTGTCAGCAGCGGCGGCGGCGGGCTCCTTGTCACGCGTTAGCTCCCGGCGCGCGGACGAATCCTCCGAGGCAGCGGTCTGCTCGTCTGTCTGCGGTGCGGCGCGCGCGGCGTCCGCCGCCGCCTTCAATGTGTCCGCAGGGGCAGCGGCCTTTGAGGGGGAGGGGAGAGGGAGGCAAAGGGGCTTAACAGCCCGTCACGGAGCGAAGGAGGAGCCCTCAGTTGACAGATGCATGGGCTTTGATTTGTGATGATAGTGCAAGTTTGATCAGCAGCGGCTCATGTGAAGCCACAAGGCAGTCTGGTGCAGGAGCGGCTCACCAGCTCGTAAGCCGCGCTGCCGCCAGCAGCAGGCTCGGCCGCCGCAGCTCCTGGGCGTGACACCTCGCCCGCCGCCGCCTCAGCCGACGCCGCGCCATGCTGTGCGACCGCCGGCGCCACTGCCGCAGCCTCCGCAGCCGCGTCAGCCGCCGCCGTGGTTGGCGCGATGCCGGGCTCCTCGCCGGCCGCCGCGCTAGGCTGGGCTACGTCGCGCAGCGCCCCGGGGGCCGTCGCCGCCGCCGCCTCACGCGCCTCAACGCGCAGCGGTGCGCCCGCCTCGGCGCGGGCATCACCGTCTGGCGCGCCTGCGCCCTTCTCGGCCTCACGCAGCGTATCCTCAACCGCACGCGGCGCGTCCGTGGCGGCGGCAGGCTTTGTGGGCAGGGGGAGATGCAGGGGCATAGCAGGCCAGGGCGTCGCCAGGGGAGAGCAGTCAGTTGATGTGTGAATGGGCTTGATTTTGGGATGAAAGAAGGCCTCCAGTCAGCAGTTCTCGTGAGGCCCCAAGGCAGTCGAGTGCACAAGCGGCTCACCAGACCGTCAGCTGCGCTGCCGTCCGCAGCAGGCGCGGCTACAGCCGCTCCTGGCAGCTGCGCCCTGCCCGCCGCCACCTCAGCCGCCGCCGCGCCGTGCGGCGTGACCGCTGACGGCGGCACCGCCGCCGCCGCCGCCGCCGCATCAGCTGCCGCCGCGCTCGCCCCGGCTGCGCCGTTCAGCGGCCCGACCGTCGTCGCCGCCGGCCCACGCGCCTCAAGGCGTGGTGCCACGCCCTGCTTAGCGACGTCGCCGCTGCGCCTGGGGCCGTCCGACGGGCTCGACCCCTTCTCGGCGGCGCGAGGCGCGTCTGCAACTGCAGCAGCCTCCGCGACCGCCCGACCCGAGCTCGCGCCGCCCGCCTCGGCGGTAACGCCCGCCGCGTCTTGGGGCGCGCGGGCCGCCGTGCCCGCGGCGCTCTTGGCCGCTTGAATGGGCAGCGGCGGCGCGGATGTGGGGCCGGCGCCAGCCTTTGCGGCGCCGGCCGGCACCGCCGACCGAAGGGAGGGCGGGGAGTGGGCCTGGACGACTGAAACGAGCCCCCGCAGCGCCTGCGCCGCCGCCCGCGCCGCGCCGGCCGCGCCGCCCACTGCGCCGCCGCCGCCCCGCCCAGCAGCCTCCTGCAG